GAACCAGTGGCATTTACATCTATAGAACGTGAAGAACCAGTGGCATCTACATCTACAGAAGGTGAAGAACCAGTGGTATCTACATCTACAGAACGTGAAGAACCAGTGGCATCTACATCTGCAGAACGTGAAGAACCAGTGACATCTACATCTACAGAACGTGATGAACCAGTGGCATCTAGATCTGTATAACGTGAAGAACCAGTGGCATCTACATCTGTAGAACTGAAGAACCAGTGGCATCTACATCTACAGAACGTGAAGAACCAGTGGCATCTACATCTACAAACGTGAAGAACCAGTGACATCTACATCTACAGAACGCGAAGAACCAGTGGCATCTAGATCTGTAGAACGTGAAGCACCAATGGCATCTAGATCTGTAGAACGTGAAGAACCAGTGGCATCTACATCTGCAGAACGTGAAGAACCAGTGGCATCTACATCTACAGAACGTGAAGAACCAGTGGCATCTACATCTACAGAACGTGAAGAACCAGTGGCATCTACATCTGCAGAACGTGAAGAACCAGTGGCATCTACATCTACAGAACGTGAAGAACCAGTGGCATCTAGATGTGTAGAACGTGAAGAACCAGTGGCATCTAGATCTACAGAACGTGAAGAACCAGTGGCATCTACATCTACAGAACGTGAAGAACCAGTGGCATCTACATCTGCAGAACGTGAAGAACCAGTGGCATCTACAGAACGTGAAGAACCAGTGGCATCTACATCTACAGAACGTGAAGAACCAGTGGCATCTACATCTACAGAACGTGAAGAACCAGTGGCATCTAGATCTACAGAACGTGAAGAACCAGTGGCATCTACATCTGCAGAACGTGAAGAACCAGTGGCATCTAGATCTACAGAACGTGAAGAACCAGTGGCATCCACATATACAGAACGTGAAGAACCAGTGGCATCTAGATCTACAGAACGTGAAGAACCAGTGGCATCTACATCTGCAGAACGTGAAGAACCAGTGGCATCTAGATGTGTAGAACGTGAAGAACCAGTGGCATCTAGATCTACAGAACGTGAAGAACCAGTGGCATCTACATCTGCAGAACGTGAAGAACCAGTGGCATCTAGATGTGTAGAACGTGAAGAACCAGTGGCATCTAGATCTACAGAACGTGAAGCACCAGTGACATCTACATCTACAGAACGTGAAGAACCAGTGGCATCTACAGAACGTGAAGAACCAGTGGCATCTACATCTACAGAACGTGAAGAACCAGTGGCATCTACATCTACAGAACGTGAAGAACCAGTGGCATCCACATCTACAGAACGTGAAGAACCAGTGGCATCTACATCTGCAGAACGTGAAGAACCAGTGACATCTACATCTACAGAACGTGAAGCACCAGTGGCATCTACAGAACGTGAAGAACCAGTGGCATCTAGATCTGCAGAACGTGAAGAACCAGTGGCATCTACATCTACAGAACGTGAAGAACCAGTGGCATATACATCTACAGAACGTGAAGAACCAGTGGCATCTAAATCTACAGAATGTGAAGAACCAGTGGCATCTAGATGTGTAGAACGTGAAGAACCAGTGGCATCTACATCTATAGAACGTGAAGAACCAGTGGCATCTACAGAACGTGAAGAACCAGTGGCATCTAGATGTGTAGAACGTGAAGAACCAGTGACATCTACATCTACAGAACGTGAAGAACCAGTGACATCTACATCTACAGAACGTGAAGAACCAGTGGCATCTAGATGTGTAGAACGTGAAGAACCAGTGACATCTACATCTATAGAACGTGAAGAACCAGTGGCATCTACAGAACGTGAAGAACCAGTGGCATCTACATCTGCAGAACGTGAAGAACCAGTGACATCTAGATCTGTAGAACGTGAAGAACCAGTGGCATCTACATCTGTAGAACTGAAGAACCAGTGGCATCTACATCTACAGAACGTGAAGAACCAGTGACATCTACATGTGCAGGAGATGAAGAACCAGTGACATCTACATCTACAGAACGTGAAGCACCAGTGGCATCTACATGTGCAGGAGATGATACAACTTTCAAAGCCATTCCCGTGTTTACTGAGCATGCTGTACAACACGTTTGGAATCAACAGGAGCAAATTTGAACAAATCGACTTACGAACAGACCTCTGGCACCTAGCTCGTTCGTAAGTAGAGGCGTCCCTTTAACACGTAGCAGGCTTTCGCGACCAATATTATTCATAATAAAGGTCTTTGTGTTAGATCGCGTTATTTATAAATGTGTCGTAACCCTCCACCACCCAACACGGCCAATCAGCAAAAAAATAAGTGTGTCACGTTGACAAATAATTCACTACTTTAGCCCCTCACCGGTCTGTTGAAGAGTGAATCCACAACATTTACAGTTTGTGATTCACTACTTTAGCCCTTCACCGGTGTGTTGAAGAGTGAATCCACAACATTTACAGTTTGAGTTGTACTGTGATGTTTCGCTGGTAACTACATCCCCAACATCATCGGGCAATTCGCCAGAATGGTGAAGCCCTCTCCACTTGCTCCCGGTCTTAAATAGAGCAGCAGGTTGACGTCATCGTTTAACTCATATCAGGTGCAGTGATTATATAATAGAATGATAATCAGTCAATGATTATGATTAATAATGAGTTGTAACGTGTGTTATTGTGAATATATGCTACGTTAGTAATCCGTTAATTAGTATGTGTTTCCCCTATAAGGAATTGTAATATGTATTATTTAATAATAATACGCTTCCAAGCCGCACTAAGCCTGTAGCTGTCAGAGCGATTAAAGTTATTTTTATTTCTCTCAATTTCAATGGATTCTCTAATTAGCCTTTGCCAGGAATAATTAGTTTTACACAACACGTCAACGTTATCAAAATCAATTGGCAAGCATGTTCTGCCACTGCCGACAGTTGTGTTTGAGATAATTTAATATTTCTCTGATGTTCTTTTAGTCTTACGCTGATGTGACGTCCCGTCTGTTCAATGTAGCAGCTGCCACATCAACAATTAATCCGATATACACCTTCTGTTGATAATTTAGGTAATTTGTCTTTAGTGCAAGATACTAGTTTTTGAATTTTGTGTACTGTACCAAAGCTTACTGTAATGTTTTGCTTTTGCAAAACACGGGCTAATTTGTCAGTTACTCCTGAGATATATGATATTTTAATTGTTTTAACAATCTGATCGCCTTCAGCAGTGTTGCTTTGCAATCGTGATTTGGCATTCAGTGCTCTGTTAACTTGAGCATTATTGTAGCCATTCTGTCGTAGTGCGTCTTTAACGTGTTTGATCTCTCTCACTAGACTCTCACCATCTGACACTGTTTTAGCCCAATGTATGAGCGTCTTGATAAGAGAGGATTTCTGAGCTGGGTGATGATGCGAATCTGCATTCAGAGAGGCATCAGTGTGCGTTTGCTTTCTGTAAACGCTGTGTGGTGTTATGTTACCGTTTAGGCCATGTCCAAGCAAAATGTCTAGGAACGGGAGTGTGTTGTTCACCTCCATTTCCATGGTGAACTGGATGGCCGGGTTTTGTGCATTGAGATGATTCGCATCATCATCACTCACACACTTACCTACTCACCCACCCACTCACCCACACACCTACTCACCCACCCACTCACCCACCCACCCACACACACACCCACTCACCCACCCACTCACCCACCCACTCACCCACTCACTCACCCACCCACACACTCAACCACTCACCTGCCCACACACTCACTTGCCCACACACTCACATACTCACCCACTCACCTACTCACTCACCCACATACTCGCTCACCCACCCACCCACTCATCCACCCACACACTCACCCACCCACTCACTCACTCACTCACCCACCCACTCACCTACTCACTCACCCACCCACACACACCCACCCACCCACTCACCTACTCACTCACCTATTCACCCACCCACTCACCCACCCACACACTCACCCACCCACTCACTCACTCACCCAACCACCCACTCACCCACTCACCCACCCACACACCCACCCACACACTCACCCACCCACACACTCAACCACCCACTCACTCACTCACCCATCCACTCACTCACCCACCCACACACGCACCCACCCACCCACTCACCCACCCACTCACCCACCCACCCACTCACCTACTCACCCACCCACCCACTCACCCACCCACTCACCCACCCACCCACTCACCTACTCACCCACCCACCCACTCATCCATCCCTCAACCAATCATAGACGAGATGGGAAGTTGCCCAACACCTGCTTTATTGGAAGCACCAGAAACTCCACCCTCCAGTGCCCTGAGGGCACTCCCTGCCCTCCCCAGTGCCCTGAGGGCACTCCCTGCCCTCCCCAGTGCCCTGAGGGCACTCCCTGCCCTCCCCAGTGCCCTGAGGGCACTCCGTGCCCTCCCCAGTGCCCTGAGGGCACTCCCTGCCCTCCCCAGTGCCCCTATTAGTACCATCACTGTGGTAGCAGCAGCAGTAGTTAGTCGTAGCTAGCAGTGGTTAGTCAGAGTTAGAAATGACACGCGAAGAATAAAATGACGTCACGGGAGGGGGTGATGACGTCACGGCAGACCAGAGGCCACCCGGAGTGCCCCCAGGGCCCCCAGGGTGCCCCCAGGGCCCCCAGGGCCCCCCAGGGTGCCCCCAGGACCCCCAGAGTGCCCCCAGGGCCCCCTCAGTAGATCTTATCGGCACAGCGGCACGAGGCCGGGCAGTAGCCCAGCACGATGAGGCCCCCAGGGTGCCCCCAGGGCCCCCAGGGTGCCCCCAGGGCCCCCAGGGTGCCCCCAGGGCCACCCTCAGTAGATTTTGTCGGCACAGCGGCACGAGGCCGGGCAGTAGCCCAGCACGATGAGGCCCCCAGGGTGCCCCCAGGGTGTCCCCAGGGTGCCCCCAGGGCCCCCAGGGTGCCCCCAGGGCCCCCTGGGGGCACCCTGGGGGCCCTGGGGGCACCCTGGGGGCACCCTGGGGGGCCCCCAGGGCCCCCCAGGGTGCCCCCAGGACCCCCAGAGTGCCCCCAGGGCCCCCTCAGTAGATCTTATCGGCACAGCGGCACGAGGCCGGGCAGTAGCCCAGCACGATGAGGCCCCCAGGGTGCCCCCAGGGCCCCCAGGGTGCCCCCAGGGCCCCCAGGGTGCCCCCAGGGCCACCCTCAGTAGATTTTGTCGGCACAGCGGCACGAGGCCGGGCAGTAGCCCAGCACGATGAGGCCGTTCTTGGAGGGGCCACAGCCGTAGGCGGCCTTCATTTGCTTGCAGTTGGAGTATCCGTCAACGTAGGGACACGGGTTGGCTGTGGGAGGTGGGGGGAGAGTGGGGGGCAGGGTGGGGGGAGAGTGGGGGGGAGGGTGGGGGGAGAGTGGTGGGGGGGAGAGTGGTGGGGGTGAGAGTGAGGGGTGTTGTATATAGATCGGCCTCTTTCCATTTTTGTCTTTGATATCAATAAGGATTTTGCCAATATATATCTATTTTTAATCTTCTCGGTTCTTTCGGTGAAGTCACCGCCACGTAGAATGGAGACAAAATAATAAAAAAAAAACAAAATAAAAAAAATCATCACGACGTTTCGGCCACAACACAAGTAGCCTTCTTCAGGTGAAGGGACAGGACTGTCCAGAAGACAGCGCTAGAGTGAGCACGGCCAAGCAAGGGCCGCGTCTATTAAAAGCTGTGGACGTAATAAAGACGTGAGTTGGCATGTTACCCTGCCACGCCAAGCAGTCCGTTCGCTGGCACGGCCTCTTGATATCTCTCACACCATGCTCAGCGGTATGGTTTATAGCATGTGGTATAATAATAATAACAATAAATAGTACAGCATGGTAATGTAGGAATAGGTTCAACCCTTTTAACTGGCACAAAAAAACTGACACCTTTATTCAAGGCATCGTGTTTGCAATAACCACAACACAAGCAGGCAAAATGCAAACAAAAGAGACAACTCTGATAATGATTTCGATTTAAAGCTTTCGTGACTGCAATGATTCATCTTCTTTGGTTCTTTCGGTAAAGTCACGTAGAATGATAATAAAATTATAAATTGAAAAAATAAAATAACACAATGATAATGATATTGGCACTGTCCTTGAATTTGATTGGTCCACACCCGAGACGGCTTTCTTTAGAGCCCTTAAGTCTCCACTGGTGTTGGACCAGAAGACGCCACAAGGCGCACAACTCAAAAACAGCGCCACTATCAGAGTTATTGAGGGCTCGGGGTGAACATTTACATTATGAGACCTCCTTTGCCAGTAACAAGATATAGGAATAGGTTTTTACCCTTTAAACTGGCACTGTTACTGTCAAAGGAGGTCTCATAAAGCATCGTAATGTTTAACATAATTCACAAGGCAATATATCGTATCGCAATTGTATAGTGAATATACAGCGGTGTGTCATGCATGAGGGTTGACAGGATGAGACATAGTGTAATATTACAAGTCTAATATTTTATAGTCTAAAGTATAGGGTAGTGGTACAGTAAAACTTTAGCATAACAGCACCGATACTCGCATACACACGTGGGGACGAAATTAACAAACCCTAAACAAATGACGTGGTGATGACAAAGTGAAATCACAAGTCTGGGGAAACATTAACCAAATGATTTTTATGGAGTATTAAACCGAGGGTTATCGACAAGGGATGAGACGGAATTACACAACCAAGATAAACTTTGCTCCATCGGAAAAGAGCCATCCCACCGTCTTTGTCTTCCCGCAGAAGCACGGGACAGCAAGGAATGGAACACGCAGAGGAGGGCGACGGTGATCACAGGGAGGGACACCCATGGCTTCATAAATGACACACACACGGACACACACGGAGACACACAGACACACACACGGACACACACGGAGACACACACGGACACACACACGGACACACACACACGGACACACACACGGACACACACACACGGACACACAGACACACACGGACACACACACGAACACACACACGGACACACGGACACACGTACATACGTACACACACGGACACACGAACACACACACGGACACACACACAGACACACGTACACACGGACACACGTACACACACGGACACACACACGGACACACACGGACACACACACGGACACACACGTACACACACGGACACACGAACACACACACGGACACACGGACACACACACGGACACACACGTACACACGTACACACACGGACACACACACGGACACACACACAGACACACGAACACACGGACACACGTACACACGTACACACACGGACTCACGGACACATGTACACACACGGACACACGGACACACACGAACACACACACGGACACACACACGGACACACGGACACACACACGGACACACACGTACACACACGGACACAAGAACACACACACGGACACACACACGGACACACGGACACACACACGGACACACACGTACACACGTACACACACGGACACACGGACACACACACGGACACACACACGGACACACACACAGACACACGAACACACGGACACACGTACACACGTACACACACGGACACACGGACACATGTACACACACGGACACACGGACACACACGAACACACACACGGACACACACACGGACACACGGACACACAGACACACGTACACACACGGACACATGTACACACACGGACACATGTACACACACGGATACACACGAACACACACACGGACACACACACACACGTACACACGGACACACACGGACACACACGGACACACACACACACACACGTACACACGGACACACACGAACACACACACGGACACACACACGTACACACGGACACACACACGGACACATGTACACACACGGACACACGGACACACACGTACACACACACGGACACACACACGGACACACAGACACACGTACACACGTACACACACGGACACACACGAACACACACACGGACACACACACGTACACACGGACACACACACGGACACATGTACACACACGGACACACGGACACACACGAACACACACACGGACACACACACGTACACACGTACACACACGGACACATGTACACACACGAACACATGTACACACACGGACACACACACGGACACACACACGGACACATGTACACACACGTACACACGGACACACACACACGTACACACACACACACGGACACACACACACGTACACACACACGGACACACACACACACACGGACACACACACACGGACACACACACGTACACACGGACACACACACGGACACACACACGTACACACGGACACACACACGGACACACACACACACGGACACACACACACGTACACACACACACGGACACACGGACACACACGAACACACACACGGTCACACGGACACACACACGTACACACACACACGTACACACACACACACGGACACACACACGGACACACACACACACGGATACACACACACGTACACACACACACACGGACACACACACGGACACACACACACACGGACACACACACACGTACACACACACACACGTACACACACACACGGACACACACACACACGTACACACACACACGTACACACACACACGGACACACACACACACGGATACACACACACGTACACACACACACGTACACACACACACGGACACACACACACACGGACACACACACGGACACACACACACACGGACACACACACACGTACACACACACACACGGACACACACACGGACACACACACACACGGATATACACACACGTACACACACACACACGTACACACACACACGGACACACACACACACGGATACACACACACGTACACACACACACGTACACACACACACGGACACACAGCCACACGTACACACACGGACACACACACACACGTACACACACGGACACACACACGGACACACACACACACGTACACACACACGGACACACGTACAGCCCCCCCACACAACACCGAGCGAGATCAAAGGAAGTTCCGCGCCTTTGTGAGAGGGCGAGCGGACTAAGGAATCGTTGGAATGAAAAGAGACAGAAAGCAGCACTGGGCGCAGCTACCAGCGGCAGGAGAGGGCGACCATCAGCTGGACGAGAAGAAGACTCAGCAGGAGTAGCAGCAGGAGAAGAAGTCTCAGCAGCAGCAGCAGCAGGAGAAGAAGTCTCAGCAGCAGCAGCAGCAGCAGCTGGACAAGAAGTCTCAGCAGCAGCAGCAGCAGCTGGTGTAGTGTAGTGTAGAGTGTAGTGTAGTGTGTAGTGTAGTGTAGAGTGTAGTGTAGTGTAGTGTGTAGTGTAGTGTAGAGTGGTGTAGTGTAGAGTAGTGTAGAGTGGTGTAGTGTAGAGTGTAGTGTAGTGTAGAGTGTAGTGTAGTGTAGAGTGTAGTGTAGTGTAGAGTGGTGTAGTGTAGAGTGTAGTGTAGTGTAGAGTGGTGTAGTGTAGAGTGGTGTAGTGTAGAGTGTAGTGTAGTGTAGAGTGGTGTAGTGTAGAGTGGTGTAGTGTAGAGTGTAGTGTAGTGTAGAGTGGTGTAGTGTAGAGTGGTGTAGTGTAGAGTGTAGTGTAGTGTAGAGTGGTGTAGTGTAGAGTGGTGTAGTGTAGAGTGTAGTGTAGTGTAGAGTGGTGTAGTGTAGAGTGGTGTAGTGTAGAGTGTAGTGTAGTGTAGAGTGTAGTGTAGTGTAGAGTGGTGTAGTGTAGAGTGTAGTGTAGTGTAGAGTGGTGTAGTGTAGAGTGGTGTAGTGTAGAGTGTAGTGTAGTGTAGAGTGGTGTAGTGTAGAGTGGTGTAGTGTAGAGTGTAGTGTAGTGTAGAGTGGTGTAGTGTAGAGTGGTGTAGTGTAGAGTGTAGTGTAGTGTAGAGTGGTGTAGTGTAGAGTGGTGTAGTGTAGTGTGTAGTGTAGTGTAGAGTGGTGTAGTGTAGAGTGGTGTAGTGTAGAGTGTAGTGTAGTGTAGAGTGGTGTAGTGTAGAGTGGTGTAGTGTAGAGTGTAGTGTAGTGTAGAGTGTAGTG